GTAACAAACAAAAAGTAAAAAACAAAACAAAAATGTGATATTAAAAATATAAAAGCTGGGTAATAGGAAAGAGGAAAGGAGGGAGTAATTTTAGATAGGGCAGTGATATTTGTAACAAAAGTTGATGCCCTCCAGGTAAAGGCCAGCAAAAAAACACCTACAGTTAAACCAAATTGGGTTAGGGTTAGGGTTAAGAGCACACCATGAGGAACTGTGGAGACTCTAAGTAAGACGTGTTGTAAAAGACTTATTACAGTATTGGGCTCATAGTAAGTGATTTTTGGGGAAGGTTCAGGCTTTGCTCTGAATTAGATGCTCTCAGGAAGGAGAGTTAATTCTATAATGGAATATTTTAATATTTGTTACTTAGAAGGTAGGAAAAATAGAGAAAGAGTAAGGCTATAATTTGTCAAGAAGCAGTGGTCACTTATATTAGCCAGAACGTTTGGTCATTTTTGCGGTTTAGAGAATGTTCTTGTATTTGCTGTGTTCAGACATGATTATGGAAGGTTCTTATTTTTGTCTCATTTGTTATTGTTGCAGAGTAACCATGCTGGAAGTTGGTGTGTTGTGAGATTGTTTATGTTCAAACCCAGCTGAGAATGCCAGGCCTGCTGCCAGTACCATCAAAGCCTAAAAAATAGAGCCAGTCTAGCTCTTAGCTGTCTAGGGTGCTTTTTTTTTTTCTTCTCACTAACAAAGCTATCAACTGCTGCAATTGCCTCTATAATTACTCTTACTCATTCTGTTTCCTGAATATTTAGAATATTTATCAGTATTATTACAGTAGTCCCCCTTACCTGTGGTTTCAGTTTCCAAGGTTCTAGTTACCACAGGTGAACCACAGTTTGAAAATATTAAATGGAAAATTCCAGAAATAAACAATTCATAAAGTTTAAATCGTGCATCATATGAGTAGCGTGATGAAATTCGACATCTTCCTGCTCTGTCCTGCTGGGATGTTCTTCCCTTTGTTCAGTGTACTCATGCTGGATATGCTACCTGCCTGTTAGTCACTTAGTTGCCGTCTCAGTTATCAGATAAACAGATCACTAGAAGAAAAAGGGTGTGTACAATACAATACCATATTTTGAGAGACAGAGAGACCACATTTACATAACTTTTACTACAGTATATTGTTTGTTATATTTTATTATTAGTTATTGTTGTTAATCTCTTACTGTACCTAATTTATAAATTAAACTTTATCTTAGGTGTTTATGAGGGTACTTCAAAAAGTTCATGGAAAAATAGAATTAAAAGATCACACAAACGTTTCCATGACCTTTCTGAAGTATGCTCATATTTACACAAAAAAACAGTACAGATTCTCAGCTTTCAATGGAGCTACGTGTCGATAAACCCATTGTAAGTCGAAATGCTTTTAACACACTAACCTACCGAACATCATAGCTTAGCCTAGACTACCTTAAACATGCTTAGAACACTTCCATTAGCTTACAATTGGGCAAAACCATCTAACACAAAACCTATTATACAATCAAGTGGTGAATACCTCATGTGATTTATTGATTACTATACTGAAAGTGAAAAACAGAGTGTCTGTATGCCATTCAGAACGGGTGAAGTGCAGTTTCTACTAAATTCGTCTTGCTTTCACACCATATAAAGACAAAAAAATTGAACACATATAGGGTTTAGTACTATTAACGGTTTCAGGCCTCTATTGGGGGTCTTGCAATGTAACTCCCTTGGGTGAGGGGGGAACTACCGTATTTAGGGTGGTAAATTCCAAAACTCATTACAGCTCTGGTGACAATAGAAGCAGCTTACTTAATTGTTAATAAAATGTACAAAACTCTCTGCTCCATGCTGTGGTAAAGAGAGAAATAGAAGGGTTAAGTATAATCCTAGGTCTCATAGATTTTGCGATTTTTCTGGGGAGATCTAGCGGGGTGATCATCCTGGGTGCTATGGGTCAAATTTGTCCCCCAAAAGTTCATGTGTTGGAAAGTGGATCCCCACTGGAACTGTGTTAAGGGTGGGAAATCTGATCATGATATTTGAAAGTGGGGCCTGTGAGAGGTGATTGGCTTGTGAGGACTGTGTCCTCATGAATGCATTAATCCATTCATGGAGTAATGACTTATCATGGAGGTGGACTGGTGGCTCTACAAGGAACCCATGAGAGAGATTTTGTGATTCTTGCCATGTGATACCCTGCATCCCCACAGGACCCTGTAGATAGTTCCCACCCAGAAGGCCCTCACCAGATACACCCCCTGGACTGTGGACTTCCTAACCTCAAAAACTGTAAGAAATATTCTTTCTTTATAAATTACCCAGTTTCAGGTATTCTGTTATAAGTAACAGAAATGGACTAACACACTGGGTGTTGAGAACAGATATGAAAATCACTTAACTATAAAAGTGTCACTTGTCATAAGAAAGGCACAGAGCCAACAGGAAGACCAAGGACAACCCATTTGTGGTTGAATGGATCAGGACCTGGGAGTAAGAAGACTAGTACTGTAAATTTTGGAAACCTGTTCAAAAGTCTCAGTCACTTGCTTCATCTCTAAAAACAGGAAGTTGGAGTTAGATTGCATGTATAAATCTGATAGGTTTGCATTCTGCTAGTCTGTCTGTACAGGAATCATATAGGGAGCTTGTCAAAATCAAGTAGAGATTACAAGGCCTCAACTCCAGAGATTCTGATTCAGCATAAGTTTTTGAGATTCATCCACGTTGTTTTCTTTTTTCTTTTATTGCTGAGTACTATTTCACTGGATGAATATATCAGTTTATTTATCCATTCTCCTACTGACGGACATCTGAGCTGTTTGCAGTTTTTGGTGACCATGAATAAAGCTGCTATGAACATTTTTGTACACTTTTTTTGTGTATATTTGTGGATTGCCGGGTCATGGAGTAGATGTGTTTAACTTATATGAAACTGACAGGTCCACGATTTAGACATAAAGCAATGTCTCAGAACACCTTCTTTTTTTCTCAAAGTGTAGTCTACTAGAGACAGAAAAGGACTTGTTCACAAGGCCTCAAGCGAGCCCTGCCACTCACCATCAATGGAGCTCTGGGGCCCTAGAATATTCCCCTACAGGCAGAGGGATGAAAGTGGTGTGGATAATGTAGTTTGGGCAGTGCATTTGATCGTCAATAACAGGTATATGAAACCCTGACAATTCTTTGCCTCTAGGTTACTTGGAAATCCATTTCATTGTGATCAAGCTTAGAAAGGGGGATACAAATGTGACAGATTTAAGGTAAAAGTCGTTTCTGACAAAGAAGCCAGTACTAGCAAAGGTTTGATATCATGTTTGGGGGAAGGCTGGATGAGGCTGTCCACTCTAGTGGGAAAGACAGTAGGCTCAAATAGCAGTCTCCACACTGAAGGTCTTGAATCTTGCAGTACAGTTTCCTTAGCTCTCTCAAGTTATTCTTAGCGGCTTTTTAAAACATCTGCCACTTCTCTTCCACTCTTCAGCAGGTAACCAGGCTTCACTTAATCAGAAAGGAACTATTTCACCTTCCTGCCAGAAACGTCCACCTATCTGTACCCATCCTTCACCTACCCTTTCCTCATCTCCAGCCGCAAAAAAACAAGGTATCTTTCCTAAAGGACTCTCCATTCCATCTTCTCAGCCCCTTATCTCCTCCTTTATACTGGCTCATTCCCACAGTATTTAAGCCTCCTCCAATTTCTCCTTTATGAAAGTTAACCTCTTCTTATCAGGTACCGCTCTAGTTACTGACCTTTTTCTCTAACCTCATTACAGTCAAACCTTCTAAAGGATCGCCTGCAAAGCCTATTCCCTTTTTCGCACCTGGGTCACCAAGGTTTGTCATTTAGGAGATACTGCACAATCATGTTTAAAGTATATGATGGTGGACAGACAGTATTCCGAGGGCGCAGACAATAAAGTCATCTACAGCATGTAGCCTGGGATGTTGAATGACTTGCTGGGTTGAGAAACTTTTATCTTTCAGCTGAGTATAGGTAATTTGATATATGCTTTCATTTTGAAATAAAGTTGTGGAAAGGCAATAGCATGCAACAAGTTGAAAAACAAGTGGGGCAACGCAGCGCACCAAATAGCCCTTCACATGACGTAGGTCCGCATACCCCAAAGGCCGCACACCCGCCACTCTACCTGAGGGGCGGTCAGGGCCCAGATCCGACCTTTCGGCAGAACCCGCATTACAGCTCCAATGTGGCCTCGGTTTCTCAGTCGGGGGTGGTGAGGGGGTGGAAAGTGAAGGGAAGAGCCGAGCGGCTCCGGGCCAATGGCAGCTCTTGAACTTACACCTCGAGACGTCAGCGAGGCTGTGTAAACGGATGTCACACAGCTGGCTCGGAAGTGTCTCCTCCCGCCTCAGAAAAGAGGAGTGCGCCCAGTGGCCTCCGTGAAACCTGTGACGACGGGAAGGAGGGGTACGCGCGACACCCCTCGCACCCCACGCTCTGCCGGTCAGCTTCTTCCCGCAGTCCCAGTCTAGGGGGTGTCCTGTGTGAGCAGCCCGGACGCCAGCGCCCCGCCCCGCGCGCGCCACCGCCGATTGCTCCGCCCCCTCACGGCACGGGTCGCGCGCTCCTGCGGCTCCCGAGCCGTGTCGCGGGCGCGCGCGCCTCCGGCTGAGCCGCAGTTAAAATGGTCTGAGGGGAACCTGGCGTTGCCCCCGCCGCCGTGCTGACTTACTGAGCCGGCTGACCGGGCCCAGACTGGTCGTCTAGCCGGCAGGCTCCCTCGCTTCCTCCCTCGCGTCCCCAAAGCTTGCGCCCATCGTTCTCCCGGCTTCCCTGGGCAAAGCATGTAGCCCCCGTCGGGCACCCGGGCACCCAGCAGCTGACGCCCACCCCCACCGTCGCGTGTGTGCCTGTGTGTGCGTGTGTGCGCAGGGCGGGCGACCCCGCCGCGCGCCGGAGGTCGAACCAGCGAGCGGCCTCCCCGCCGCCAGGAGCCCGTCTGTCTGGGCCTCCCTCCCTCCCCGTCCCGGTCCCCCTCCTCGGGGCCTTCTATATGGGCCACCTTCTCTCGAAGGAGCCGCGTAACCGCCCGAGCCAGAAGAGGCCTCGCTGTTGCAGTTGGTGCCGCCGCCGGCGCCCTCTCTTCAGGCTGCCCCGCCGGACCCCGGCCAAGGTGCCCCCTCAGCCGGCGGCACCTCGGAGCCGGGACTGCTTCTTCCGCGGGCCCTGCATGCTCTGCTTCATCGTGCACAACCCCGGCGCGCCCGCC